AGGTCTCTTCCAACTCAAAAATTCTATGACTCTGGAAATGAATAAATGATTTGGTCAGGATCAACAAAATCTCCTAGTTATAACGATGTTGCTGTGGATAGATAGAACTCAATCTATAATGCAGTTCTCAGCAAAGCACTAAAGGCCAGGGAAAAAAGAAAAAAAGATGATGAGCAAGAATGTACTCAGCATATGTGCGTGTAAGATAGCAAGGCTACACTAAACCTGTCTTCTTTTTAAAGACTCTTGATACCCACAAACTTGTACATTTAAATCTTCTAACCCTTATACTCTTAGCTTAAAAATTTCCTAAACTTTGTTTAATTAGGGTTTGGGGTGGTAGGATGGGCATAACTGTATTTTAGAAAAAGATTTTAAGTTACTTTCAGTTGTCAAACTGTTTTTCAAAGTTCTGTTTCCATCTCAGTTTTCTAAAACACCAACACCCTCCTTATCACTTGAAGCTTCAAAAGTTCAGTATCAAAGGTTTAGCTCTCTATATATCTTCTTTCTAAATTGGTCTAAGTATTTCTTCTGAATAGCTGCTCTCTACACTAACATACTATTAGATGATTACCTCCACATTTATTCAGTACTTGTATACTGAGCACTGTACTAAGAGAAAGGGAGGATGAGAAGTTCAGATAAGACACAACTTCTACTCTCAGAGATAAACAAATAATTCTAATATATGAAAAGCTCATTAGAAACAGGAAAGCAAAGTGTTATGTACAGCATGAGGAAACCAGGCAGAAAACATTTGAGTAGGGTTTTATTATAAAGTATGAGCAGAAATTCAAAAGTTGAAGACTGAGGACATTTTAGCTATGTGTAATCAAAGGCTTGGAAAAGTGTAAGTGAACCTTTTTGGGGGGAAGAAGAGAGAAAATAGCCAAGTTTACAAAGTTATTAACGGGAAAACCTGAAAAGACTAAAAAATTATGGTAGTGGAAACTGGTAGGCCTTCAATGCCACACAGAGAATTTTCAACTTTACTCTGAAGACAATTGGGACTTATGAATATTCTTAAGCAGAAGAGTGACATGACAGTCCTAAATCTCCTAATTCTGTATCTTTGATTTCTGGCATTTAGCTACCAGTGCTGACAAAGAAAAAACTGGCCTAAGGTTTTATCACTCACCTTGTGACATGATTTTTTTTTTTATATCTGAATTACTACAATATATAATGCAAGACAGAATGTGATAGAAGAGATCAAGTCAATGTGCTCTAGGAATAACTGAAGAGAGAAAAAAACAGCTAGGGCATGGGGGAAGGACCAGGAAAACTCATTAAGGAGATGACACTTGAGCTAAGCCTTGAAGGAAAAGGATTTTTTTTTTTAACGGACAGAGAATTTATTCCAGAGGTGGAAAACTGACCATGCACAGAAGCAGGAGATGGCACGTCAAGTTCAGGAAATAGCTAAGTAGTCTAGTTTGGCTAAATGGAGTATATAAAAAGGAATTGTGTAAGATAAAGATAGAAAAGAAAGTGGGAGCCATACTATATAGGGCCTTAAATGCCAGACTCCTGAAGGCATTAAAAAGCTACTGGAAAATTTGATTCCAGTGGATAAGGAAGCAATATCATCATATTTTGGAAGCTATGTGAAGGATGGATGGGAAAGGTGAGAGAATGAGTGGAAACAGGAAAGCCAATTAGGAAACTATTACAATGGTCTAGGGAGTGGCAGTAATTAAAGTGAGGTGATTAAAAACTGATCCTAAACCTATTGTTAAGGTAAAATCAATAAGACTTAGCTAAAGATTGAATATCAGATTATGGGAAAAGCAGGAATAAAAGATATAACAAAAACTGGGAATTTGGGAGGGAGCAGCAGGTTCTTTGCAAGGAAAGACAAGAATTCAGTTTGGACATGAATTTAATGGAGTTAATGAATTTAGAATTGGAATTTGGAATTTAATGAATTTAAAGGAGTAAGGCAGACACAGAAAGTTGTCCAGCAGTCTAATAGGGACTGAAAAAATTGATGACTAGGAAAAATGGAGATTTGGGTGTCACTTGTAGAAAAGTGACAAGTGAACAGGTAGAATCACCAAGGGGAAGAAATAAAGTGAAAAAAGGAAGCAGAACAGAGACTTGAACAACACCCACACTTAGGGGGTAGGAAGAGGACAATGAACTAGAGAAGGAAAACCAGAAGAAAGCAGTATCACAGAAGCCTAAAGAAAAAATTATCCATTGGGAAAGCATAATCACAGGGTCCAATGCTGCAGAAGGCCCAAAGAAAAGAAGGACTGAGAAAAGGCCAATGAATTGGGAATTAAGAGGTCAGTAATGACTTAAAGAAAGTATTTTCAGTTGAGTGGTGGGAATGGAAGCAAAACTACAACAGACTAAGGAATGAGTGGGTGGTAAGGAAATGGAAGCAACTAGTAAAAGGGACTAGTTATCTATCCTTGACAAACTATAGCTGAGCAAAATTGCCAGACTGGAGAATGCTTTCTTTTCTCAAGTTATTAGTCTATACCACATCCTTCTGGATAGCATCAGGATTGATACAAAGAACTCAGAACAGGTGGATTCAAGGCTGAAGGAAATTGTCATAAGCTTCCCAGCTATGTCTGAAACTTAAACCCCCATGGGTTTTAACACATACCAGTTTGGTTTTGTTAATGTTTCTTCTAACGATAAAGTTCCATTCAAAAAAGGATTTTAATAATGTACTCTGGCACCTAATGTACAGAAATCTCATTATGAATAAAGAATTCCATGCTATTAAAAATAAAAAAAGTAAAAGGGAAGAAGTGATAGAGAAATCTAGCTCTTTTTGAAGAGGTAATTTTTAAAGACTAGTAATCATGTCTAAAAGAGATAACAAAGAGACTGAAAGTAAGAAAGGTAAGGATCAATAAAGCAATCTCCCATTCTGCCTTATATTATATGTACAGATGTGGCATCACTTACCCAAAGCAGACTATAAATTCCTTGAGGGCAGAGACTGTCTTTTTCATCTTTGCATCCTTAATGCCTAGACTAGGGCCCTAAATGTACTGCAGCAGGAATACATGCAAGGTACTGTGCTAAGCAATGGAGGAGATAGAGACAGTACTTAACAAATGTTTGTTGAATCAAATCAGTTAGGTATTATGTATGTGTAAGATTCAAATTAGGATAACAGTCACAAGATTTAATAATGCTAAACCCTTGGGATTCTAATCTGACTCAGACCTACACTCTAATTATGTCTAGTCTTACTATACAGCTTAACTACTATTTTTTTCTGTTTTAATTCTAGCATGAAATGTACTTATAAATGGCCAGACTAAATACTTTTGCATTTGAGAATGAAAATGCTAATCTTATTCTATTAGTTAATTCCCCTTTTGTCATAGTCTATCAATGAACTGTTTCTCCAGTACTCATCTAAAGACAACATTTTTCAAACACAACAGTCTTTATGCCTAGCAAATTAATACTTTCATCTCAAAGCCACAATGCATTTCTACTAAGAAGTGCAAAGGAGCCATCTTTAACTTATAAACTGAAATGTAGCTTTCCATTCAAGAGAGTATGGGAAACTGGGTTTTATTGTAATACAAATAAATACCTTAATCTTTTTTTTTAATCTCCCAAGCAACTACGTGTATACAGTAGGCATTTAAAAGTAAGGTTATTAAGAGAATGTTTAAGAGTCTTGTAGAAAATAGCTATTAAAAAAACCTCTCTTAAAAATCTGTGGAAGAACTCCACAAATTTTGTTTTCTTTCAGGAGAAAAAGTACTACCATAATCACAACTTCAAAGAAAGTAATTTACAAATGTTATAGCATGGCACTGCCTTCATTTTTATTATTTTTCCACTCCTAGAAATGTGTTTAACAGGACAAAGTTTGTAAATGGAATAGCAAATAATACATTCATACTTCTCTTCAAAATTGCCTGCGTATGTCTTATCAATTAATATACATTTATTGTGCTTCCTACTAGGTACCTGGTACTATTCTATGACACTGTGCTACCTTTTTACTACATCATGTTCCTAGGTGCTTACTGAATGTTTGCTGACTTTTATAAGTTAAGGTATACCTGACCTCTCCTCTTTCTCACTTCCCAATTCTGAAACGATGCTAAGGGCTGATTTACAGTTACACTCATGGTGATGTAATGGACTTCACTTTCCCTTAAAGTTTCATGTCCACATATTCACTCAAGCCCTGAATTTTTATTTGAACTGGAGGAGGCGATCATCAGTATTTCCCTAATAAGACTTAGAATACTCTTAATTCATCTCTAGCGTGAAGAAAGCCTAGATTTTTAAGGGTGATGTCAACAAGACTCAATTCCTGCTCCTTTCAGCAATTCCTGCAGCAAACCTTTGGGCCCCCATCATTTTCAATAGAGGCGCAGTCCAAGTAAACTACAGGTCCCACCATGCACCGCTGCCCAGATCACGGCAGGTCTCTACGGAAACCGAAAAATCCTCCCCAAGTCCCACCTGTTACTTCGTTTCTAAACACCGCCCGCACTTTCCGTTCAGACAACAGCCCAAAACAAAGAGCGGCGACTCAGGGCCGGCTTCTCGAGCAGAAATTAAACCGGGGCCCAGGCGTGGCATGGCGAGGCTGGGTGCCGCTGGCCCGACCGGGTGCCCAGCAGCCGCATCCCGGCGTCCCGGTTTCCCGGGGCCGGACGTAAACACCAGGCTTCTTCGCCCGCTTCCCGCAGGATGCCCGGCCGCGTACCCCGATGAAGGGGCGAAGTGAGAAGCGCCGGCCGCCAACTTCTTTCCAGGACCAGGACGGGGTCGCGTCTGCCCGCGCCCAGGGCACCGGCCCCGCTCCTCGAGCCTAGGCCTGGGTCCCGGCGACGCGCCCGGTGCCCGCACTAACGGCCGCCCCGGGCCGCGCGCGGCTTTCCAGGCCCCTCGGCCGGTGCGGGGCGTCCCTCTGGCCGGTGGCCGCCCTCCCCCCGCGGCCAGTCCCTCCCTCCTGGGCTCCGCCCGGCCTCCCCCGTCCTTCCTTCCCCGCCTCTCACCGTCTTGGCGGCCTCCGCCCAGGTCCTGCCCTTCTTCCTACGGCCTTTTTCCCTCATGTCGGGGCTTAGACTGGCTGGGAGCTTCCCGTGTCCGGGGTCCGGTCGCCCGCCCTCTCACCGCTAGCTCGCTCGCTCGCTCGCCCGCCCGCCTGCGCGGCTTTCCCCGCTGTGCCGGGAAAGAGGGAAGAAAGGGGAAGTAGAGCCGAAGGAGAGCCCAGGCGGAGGGAGGAGGAGCAGCAGCGAGAGGGGCCGCGCGCCGGGGTCTAGGGGGCGGCCGGTCTTCTGGCTGCCGTTGCCACTGCTGCTGCTGCTGCTGCTACCGCCGCCGCCGCCGCTGCCATATTGGACACTTACTGTACAGACGGCCGCCGCGGTCATGTGACCACTCCCGCGCGGCCCGTCCCCTACTGTAAGGACCCCACGCGCACGCGCGGTTCCGGCGCCGTGGGGGGAGGCGGGGAAGGGGAGCTAGGGGGGCTACACGTTTAGAGCTCTAAAAGGCGGCAGCGACCTCACCCCTTTTCTGTCCCCGCCCCTCGCCGACCCCCCGACCTCTGCTCTGGAGCATGCGCCTGGCTGCGCGGCCTTATAGACAGCGGCGTCCTAGCCTACGTCGCACACGCAGAAACCGGAAATGTGTCTGCGGAAGTTAGTCAATCTGCAAATATTTTGGGGTAGCTGAGCGTGTGGCAGGAGCCGTGGCCAGTGTAAGAAAGCATGTCACAGCAATGGCTCCTGCCCGGGAAGAATGACCCAATCAGAGAACCGTAGATTTTCAATACACAGATGAGGAAACTGAGGCCCGGAAAGGTGAAATAGTTTGCCCAAGGTCACAGAGGTGACAGATTTGGACCTAGGAAACCTGGGTTCAAATTCTGACTGCCACTCCCTGTGTGACCAGAAGTAAGCCACTTGCTCTCTCCAAGCTTGTTTCCTTCTACGTAAAACGAGGGAGATAGACCACAAGAGTGCTAAGGTCCTTCCCTGCTTTAAATCTAAGACCCAGCCTGGTTTGTTGCTCAGTCGTATCACACTCTTTGTGACCTTGGGGACTGTACTGTCCGAGGAGTTTTCTAAACACGTTAAGTGACTTGCCCAGGGTTACACGGCTAGTGTATGTCAGGTCAGATTTACCCTCAGATCTTCCAGACTCAGGGCTCAACGCTGTATCCCCTGAGCCATCTAGCTGCCTCTGACCCTAAGTGGTGGTGGTGGGATTCAAATCCAAGACCTCTGATTTACAGTCAGAGCTTTCCAGCACACTTTCCAAAGCACCACTAGCCCAGGCTTGAAAAGATTCCTGTTCTAGATTTCGAATAGTGAACCAGATTTAATAAAACACTGTAATTCCACTTCTAGACCAGCTTCTAAATTGTTTGAGTTTGATACTTTAGGCCCAGTATAATTTCCTTGAAACTAAATTACAATCTAATGGTCTTACCTCATTCAATTCAACAAAAGCCAACTGTGTGCTAGTTACTGGTAATATAAAGATGAAAAAAATTTACATTTTTTGCTCACAGGAAATTTTATGCAGTTTATTGGGAAAAGAGACAAAAAAGCCATGTTAATTTATAATTTCATAGGTTGAGAGGTTATCAGAAATGTATGCCAGAAAAAAAGCTGACCTGTCACTTTAGGGAGAGCAAGGGTTAACAGTGTGGTACAATGCCAAGAACATTGGCTTTGAACTCAAAGGATCTAGATTAAAATTGTTCTTTGATCACTTACTACTTGTCATATGCAAGTAACTTGACCTCCATTGACCTCAGATTCCTCATCTGTAAAATGATGGAGTTGGACTAGAAGACCTCTAAGGTCCCTTCCATCAATAAATATATAATCTTATGTATTGGTGGTAACCACACAATGATTTAGAAAACAAACAAACCAGGAAGTAGCAAGTTGAGGCACTCCCTGCTGCATATTTACAGGAAAGCATGGGCAAGAGATATGCAGGATGAGCAACTATGGATGGGTTATTATTTGTAACAAAGTACCTACTATGTGACAAACAGTCCTAGATGTACAGTTACACAGTTAAAAATGAAACAATTTCTGCCCTCAAGGAGTTTATAGACCCTTGGAGAAAACAATATGTACGCAGACAACTAAATATAAATACAAAATAGATACAAAGTAATTTCTGTATAAAGAAAAGAGTAGTAAAAGAAATTAGGAGTACAGCATTAACTTTCCCACATGTGTGTTAGAACATTTTGTCGGTATTCACTATCAAAGGACTTGACTGATAACACCAATTTTCTGAAACAGAGCTGATGAGAACACATGAGTTTTGACTTGAAGGGTTGGGAGATCCCATTCTAACCTCTGTTCTCTCACATATATCCAAAGCAAAGTATCATAGAATTATATATTTAGAGCTCAAAAGGACTTTAAAAGTCATCTGGCTTTATCCCTTCACTTTGATGAGATCACCGAACCATCAGAGAATAAAAGTAAGCTCATAGTCATATAGTGGTTTGGCTCATAACAACCAGGTAGATAGTGCAATTACTTTGCCAGTTTTCCAGATCAGGAAACTAGGGCTTAGTAAGGTCTAGTGACCTGCCTAAGGATCACACAACTAACAAGTATCAAAGTTTGAACTTGAATTTGGCCCTTCTGACTCCAAAATCAGTGCTAATGCCACACCATTCTACCTGCAGATGATTTTGTGCATAGAAAAGGTCAAAAAGAAGGGCATGGATCATTTCTGAATAGAGAGATCACAGAAGATGTTATGGAGGAGTTGTGCCTAAGGCCTATAGTCTCATAGGAAGAAAAGGATTTCAAAACACAGAACTAGGGGAATTCCGTTCCAGGTGTGAGGCCTGTTCATATATTTGGGGACAAGTGATGGCAAAACAATATCAGAAAATGGTGACTAGTAAAGGTTAGTGGCAGTACAAAGTGCCTGCCCAAAGGAGAACAGTGTGAAATAAAACTGGGAAGGAAGGTTGCAGAGGGCTTAGGGCAGGGATAAAAGGATTTGGCAGGCATCTAGGTGGTGCATTAGATAGAGCACCTGACCTGGAGTTAGAAGGAGCTGAGTTCCAATGTTACCTCAGACACTTCCTAGCTGTGTGACACTGGGCAAGTCACTTAACCCTGTTTGCCTCAGTATCCTTATCTGTAAAATGAGCTGGAGAAGGAAATGGCAAACCACTCCAGTGACTTTGCCAAGAAAACCCCAAACTGGGTCTGGGAGAGTTGGACATGACTGAAACAACAATCAGGGGTTTGACTATCACACTGACAAGTTTACATTTTATTTGAAAAACAGCGGGGTGTAACTGAAAAGTTTGGAATATTAGAGTAACATAATTAGATTACAAGAAAATAATGTAATGCAAACAGCATGAAAGATGAAGTCTAGCAGGAATAGAGGCAAGAAGACCAGTTATCTACTCCACCGTCATGGTGACCTTGCTGACACAGCAGCTACTGCTGGGAGCTACAACTAGAGGAGCTTGTACTTCAACTCCTGCCACCTCTGCCTCTTTGGTGTCTCCTTCTGTGAGTACACCAAGCAGTAACCTGGACATGGATATCTACAAAGGTAACACAGTGAGATCAGAAGTCCAGAGGTCTGTGAGCATGATAGGGGTGGTATCCACTCGAACAGCTTATATGGTGTCTACCAGAGCATTTAATTGTGACTGTGGCAGGTGCAGGCAGGAGTGATTGACCATGGAAGCAGCTGAGCACGGAGTTCAGAGGATGCTGAGTTTTGGAGTAGAGTGACTGTACAGAACAGAGATGCAATGTAAATGCAATCCCATCACATCATTATGTTCTGATACAGTTTAAGTATCATTTTCTCAGTGGATTATCCAATAGTTATGTCAAATTACTGAATCCTGTTCTATTAATGCATGTCTGGGGGTTCTATATATTTAGCATTTCTTCTGTGTATCGGAATAAATTGCCCATGCCATACCTGATTCGTGTTATCGGTTAAGTATTATTTTTACTTCCCCTTTGAGGTGCCGCTAGACTTCATTGGCTATAATTGGCTATAACTTAAATCATCCCAGGACACACGGGTTGGGGATTTAACCAATTGAAAATGTGACAATGTGAAGCTTAATTCTCCACGTTAGAGTCAAGTTTCCCCCAGGACTGAATTGAGTTCAAACAATATGTCTAGACACAGGTCAGGGAAGGACAAGTGCCCTATCCCCTGTGGGTCCAGCCATTTAGTCTCTCAAGACTACATCGGTCTTGAAGGGGTAGCTAGGTGGCACAGTGAATAGAGCTCTGGCCTTGGAGTCAGGAGGACCTGAGTTCAAATCCAGCCTCAAACACTTAACACTTACTAGCTGTGTGACCCTAGGCAAGTCACCTAACCCTGATTGCCTAACTAAAAAGAAAAAAGATTACATTGGTCTTGAGAGAGAGATTAGAATCATGTTGTAAAAGACTTTAAATGCTATAGGAATTTTTATTTTACCCTAGAAACAATAAGGAGTCATTGAAACTTTTAGAATAGGGCAAAGACTTGATCAGAACTGTGCTTCAAACCTATTTGTTGTTCCTCATCACAACATTCCATCCCTACCTTTTTGCCTTTTCAAATGTTGTCCTTCATGCCTGGAATGCTGTCCCTCCTCACAATTGCCTCCTGAAATGTACCCTTGATCCCATTGCTTCCTATTTTCTCCAGCATATTATCCCTACTATCATCCCCTCCCCCTATCTCTTCATTAATCACTCCCTTTGTACTGGTTCCTTCCCTGCTGCCTGCATTGTTGTTCTTCCTTCATTCTAGAGGAGAACCAAGGGCATCACAAGGACTGGGGCCTGTTATTGGCCATTCAATGAAAGCAGAGTGATTTGGGTTTAAAGGCATAGTCAAGTAACTCCATTTCTATCACAATTGACTTTTTTAAAGCCTGTTTTTTCAGAGCCATGTTTCAAGAAATCATAAATGAAAACTGTGCAGGACAAAGAGCAAATTGTCCCAGCTTTAAAAAAATAATAATAATAATAAAATAAGTAAATAATTAGAAAACAAAAAAAAATCTAGCCCCCAACCCCAAGATATCTTACAAAATAAAAGTGACCAAAAATTATATTCCTTTGGACAGAGCACCCATATGTAAGGGCCCCAAGTCGAGAGTTCATGTGTGGTGAGAGAAGGAGGAAGAGGA